GAGATTTTTGGAATAAATGTATAGAAACAAAGTTGTAGAAACTTTTATGAGCTTTCGATTTTGATATTTTCCTACGACTCCTCCATTTGCGAGATATAGCCAAAAACCGCAAAACTGTACCTTCAACCCCCTCCCCATCCACCGGCAGCACCGAAATTGCTCCGGACTTGGATATTTGTGAAACAAAATTTGCTGTGGCCAGCACAGATACAACCCGCATACGTCCTTCGCATTCGCGATTCTACCCAAAAGATCTTTCTTTTATATCTAAGAATAAATGCACCAAATCTGTACAGACAGACAGATCGACAGATAGACCGACATCATCGGGATTTTGTTTGATTCGGATTCGGAGGGGGATCATTTTTTTACCTCACTACAAGATGGTGTTGTGGGAGAATGCAACGCCAGCAGCTCTGAGGGGTTTGGAACACTCCCCTCCCCCAACTATCTCACTTTCCCTACAATGATCACCATCACATCATTCGAATACTCATAAAAGTGAGGGTTATTCTATACCACCCAGACCCCCTGGCGCTAAGTTCGATGGGTTTTTACTAAAGAATTGTAATGACAGTAGTCAGGCAGACGGTTTTAGAGGAGAATGGTGTCTGGGGGGTATTCCAATTCAATGACCCTTTCTCTATAATCATTATTATGGTCATGAGATCATTGGCATACCGATGAAAGTCTTCGTTCATCGGGGGGAAAGAGTCATTGAGGTTTCCTAGGTTAACTAGAGGGTATTCCAGCCCCCCCCCCCCGGTGGTACGTTCGATGGGGTTTTACCGAAAACTGTAATGCGAGTGGCCAGGAAGACGATTTTGGTGGAGAATGCAACACCGGGAGGTCTGGAGATACAGAATACTCCCCAGCAAAAAGAAAATTTAATACCCTTTCGCTATAATCATCATCGCCATGCGATCATTCGTGTACTCATAAATAAGGCCTTCGTATAATACCTCGGGCGGAACGGGTCATTGAAGTTTCCTTTTACTGGAAGGTATTCCAAAGTCCCCAGTGCTACGTTCTATGGCGTTTTGCCGAAAACTAATGAGAGTGGTCAGACAGACGGTTTTAACGGAGAGTGCAACACTGGGGAGTCTGGGGGGTATAGAGTACCCCCTAGTAAAAAGAAACCACAATGACCCTTTCCCTACAATCATCATTATCGTCATGATTTATTCGTATACTCATATAAATGAAGTCGTGGTATAATACTCTGGGGGATATTCCATTCCCCGCACCCCTCGGATGCGTTTGACCTAAAACTGTAACGAAAGTGGCCCTTGTAAAAAAATCAATGATGGGAATATCTTGAGAACAAAGTGTCGGAATCCGGTACTCAAAAAAGCGATCTGGTAGGTCTCCTTGAGACGCATCCAACGGTACCAGTGTATCACATTCAACCGGATCGGATTACTAGCGATGGAGATATGATATATATTGCAGAACGAAGTACGAAGTAACAGAGTACTACTCATAAAGTGGAGATTAAAGTTCTTTGCTAGATATGTATGTGTGAAAAGTTGAATTCGAATATCTCGAGAAGTATTTGGTGTAAGGAAGTCGTATGTTTTGAATAGCCTAATTGTTATTATCCTGTTTTCGTATATAAGCATTTTTAGCACGTTTTTGAAAAAAAGTAGCGCTTATACAGGGTGCTTTTTTTAAGATGGGCCATACAACAATGTAAAGGGGTTGAGTTTTTAAAATGGGCCATAGGGAAATTTACTGTGCATCAATTGTTTCGGTAATAGCTTCCTCGCTTGTTTCCTAGCGAATCATCTGCCACAGTACTGTAGAAATTGTTTCTAAATCAACAAATTTATTCAAATCAGATATACACGTATAAAATTACAATCGGTGCTCGAATTGTTTTCCACCCGCAACCAAACAATACCCGATACTCGGCACTGAATATAGCTCGCATTACCACTCAGCTACTGTGCCCACTCTTGTAGAAATTGTACTACATGAACACCTTTTCGAGCGGCGGAATAAATGTTGCTGCTTCGTTGATGCAGTTTGACGTATAGAGATCGGGAACTGTCCGTGAAATAACTAAGCGCAAGGCCAAGATTTGAGAACAATTTGCGCAATGTAAATTCCCTATGGCCTATTTTAAATAACTCAACGCCTTTAAGACACTGCGTTATGATAGGTGTGTAGCTGTGTACTTTCTAGGCCCATCTTTAAAAAATCACCCGGTATATTCACTTTGGCTGTACATATTTTTTTTAAGTATAACTCTCGAAGGAATCATCGTAAAATGGTCGGGTTTGAAGCATTAGCTAGTCTAGTCTTTGCATGCAGATTATACAGGGTGCTCATTATGTATGGAATGTATATATCTCGGTAAATATCTAATGTATACAACATTTCTTTACATGAAAGTTGTTTAACATTTTATTTTCCATGATAAGGCAGCTTTCCATTGTTTTTATTTCAGAAAACAAATGAATAATGAAAAACAATTGAATTTTTTTAAATAGGAATGCACACTTTCATTAAGTTCATTGATAGAGATTTTTTTCTCTTTTCAATGACGTTAACACGTTACCACCTGTGTAGAGGAAATTAATTTTTATTTCAAGCTTTTTGTGATTGGTCATGCCACTGTCTTGCAGTTAATGGTGAACATTTTGAACATTCATTGTGATGAAAACCATTTTACTGCTAATTTCGTTTTGTCTACAAAGTTTAGTAAGAAACGTACACGTTCATTTGTTTCATTTTGATGTAGGATATCTGGATTAATGTTATGGATTTAATTACAATTTTTGTTTAAATGTTCATGCATGACTCATGAGGGCAAGTACTAACATGTTATATTATCCAAAAGAGAAAAAAAATATTTATCAAATGAGCCTAATGAAAAGGTAAGGTGCACTGCAATTTTAAAAAAATCAATTGTTTTTCATTATTCATTTGTTTTCTGAAATAAAAACCAACTGAATGCTGCCTTATTATGGGAAATAAAATGTTAAACAACTTATATAGAAAACTCATATAGAAAAATTTTGTATACATACGTTATTTACCGAGATATATTCTATATTCCATACATAATGGGCACCCTGTATTTTGGAAGCAGAGAAATCTCGATCAGTTGCACAAAAACGCGCTTAAGGAGCATCGAGTACTTTCCAACTTGTTCTTTTCGTGAAGGTAATGATATGCAACCCTTTTAGGTACTTTCACTGATCCATGTAGTACCTATACAGGGTAGTTTAATTTTTCCTTTTTAGGAAAAGCCTAGTTTACTCGATCACTTACGCTTGGCATTCAAGTTTACATGAATCACAATCTTAAGTTAAAGTTAACTGCAATTTTCTAAATGTTCCTATGGGTTGTTGTTGAAATCCAATGGGATACATCAAAACTCAAAAATGGTATAGCCAGAAGAATAGATCTTCATGAAGAATGAAACAGTAACTGCTTACAACAATAAACTAGTATTGCTACCCCCTACGAACTGAAAGCTATATACTGAATATACCTACATAAAATTCTTTATGAATTCCGAAGGCGAACCAGATAATTTCTCCATCGAAAAATTTACTTGTTTTAGCCATTTCGATATTAAATAAAGTGCAAAAATGATTAAGGGCAAACAAGAGGGTTGACACCCCTTAATCCTCACTTTGCCAAATTCTAAGTATTGAGTTACTTTCCAAAAAATCCCAACTATTTTACATGTCGTTTCGGCAGATGAGTGGATTCAATGCAAATTATTCGGTGTTACATTTAGACTGAAAGGTTACTAATAAATAGACAAATGGCGCGCAATGGTATCGCCCAGGGGAGAGCTTAAAAAAAGACTGAATGGGTTGTCTCATCAGTTAAGATTGCCTTTTTTTGCCATTCGAACACGACATCGACCCAAACTGCAGTACAGTAGGTCGTTATTCGCCCCATGCGACTATTAACCCGTTTTTTTTCCTACCGGTCGCAATTAAAACAATTGAATACGGATTTTAAGCGGCGATTCTTAAGAGGGTAATAAACGAAATTGACTTTTAATTCGCTTATTATCCGAAATATAGTAATTTCAATGTGATTGCACTCTTGTGCCGCGTGTACATATTTTATAAGAGCGAAGCGAGCGGTAACGCCAACCGGACTGTATCCATTGGCTTTTCCCAACCCCTTTATTGGGGGCCATAAACGGATTTCTTATGGGGGTTATAACTAAACCGGTTTAGTAAGAGCATGGCTCAGTACGCCTCATTCCAGATTAAATCCAGTTTGATTACATTAATCCCACGTTTAAAAACTTCGAATTTAATCAAGTGCATTTGATGGAGTTCATCATCAAACACGGACTTATCTTTTCGGAAATGCCGATTGCCATCGATTCGCCTTAACGACCGGCTTGATTGAGCGAGCACGAACTGATCCGCCGTGCATCAATGGCCCGAAATCGTTTGAAGTTGTAATGATGATCAAATTAGAATTCTCCACTACCCGCATCTATTTCCTCTTCTTTTCAATTAGAAATTATGCAGCGTGCGTCCTTCCCGAACTACCTAAATTTGGAAACGTTTCCACCTTCCGAATAAATGACACGTAAAAATTCCTCTCGCTCCGGTTCGGATTATTGGAAATTTGCATGATTTCGTAATGAAAGGACAGGGTTTTCGCGCATTATCGTAAAACTTTACCACCTACGCAATTTACTCATAAAGTTTTTTTTTACGGGCGCAGTAGATGAGGAAGTCCTGATAACTACCACTAACCATTACAAAGACCGGCGGCTCATCACATTCGGGACTGACATTACACCGGAGTGCCGTCGCGACGCTCCTCCGGCTTTATAATTCTTAGTCTCAGATGTTCCTCACGATCTTATACGCGGATAACTTAGTTTTAAGGTTCAAAAAATGCGTTCGCGTAAAATTTAAATGAGAAAATATTTCCTTTTCCCTCGGCGGCTGTTGCGCCCCATTCGGTTTTTTCGCATTTCTACGTGTCGAAATAAAATGAAAATTACTCACCGTTGTGAACCAACAGGGTGGAATCACGTGCGAGCGCGAGCTCCGAATCCGTCAGGGTTGCGTCGGATGCGTTTTCCGACGTCGGCGTGTCACTGAGACCGGCCGGCTGCTGATAAAGTGGATGCTGATAAGTGTGCTGCGAGCCGTATAAACGCGGAGATGGACAATCTTCACCCTCTGATCCGCTTATGCTGTACGCAGGGTACAGTCGCCCCTTTCCTGCAATTAAAAAGTCTACTTTAATACAAATCCCGAAACTCGGTCACCCAATCCTGTTATTTCTGAACATTTTGCCGCTAGATTAACGAAATACAATAAGTTTAGAATATTATTTAAAAAAAAACTATCCATTTTAAACAATTTCCAATCATCTTCATGTCATGGGAAAATCCGGATGCTTGGACAATTGGTTCCATACGAGTTGAAACGAAAAACCACTTCCGAAATGCTTCTCCAAAGACAACAAAAAAATAAGGGATTTCTGCATCGCATCGCCACTAGAGACGAAAAGTGGATTTACTGTGATAATTCAAAACGCAAAAAGTCTTTGGGTTAACATGGGTCGATGGAACGCCTCGAAAGATGAGGAATTCTTCCGATCTAGAATCCGTACCTTGCCTAAAAGATGGGTCAAAATAGTGGTTAGCGACGGAAATTACTTCGATTAATAATATCTACCTTCATTTATTTTTTGCTATCTTCGTTTCGGAGATATTTTTTATTAAAGTCATTTTTTTTAGTGTACTGCTACCTTGGTATATTTCCAAGTGTAACGAGTGCTTACAGAAATATGGAATGATCCTACATCGCTTTCATAGAGATCTAGGAAAGTGGAATAAAGTTTTGGGTAAGTTATTATTACTCCTATGTTGTTGAGGGATCTCCCTAGGAGATATGTTAGATGGTAGTACAGTGGTTTTGGTTATATAGTCTAAGAAGACAACCAGTATGTAAATTATAAAATCTGAAATTTTGCTCAGCGAGTCTCCTATACCTACCACCTATGAGATTGGGCCTCGCTAACATCTGCGAGTGAATAAGCTGGGGCATGTTAAAGTTAAAGTTGTGCATTTTTTTCGGCACCCTTTATACAGGTTTTTTTTAAAAAACCTTCCCATTTGATTGTAGAAAAATACATGTAAAATGATGTTTATAAATTTTACTACGATTTGACGGATGGTTTAACAAAAGCGAGGTGGGCACGAATCTTTCTTCGCAAAATTGTCATCTTTTAAAGCGTAATTTTAACAGAACTAAGCATCAAATCAAATGTTATCTACAATTCATAGCTTTCTACATAGCCAAAAAACCTACCCCTTGGTCTTCGTGATCACGTGGCAATAATAGAAATATTCCTTATCTAAATAGTTTATTTTTACCACATTCTTCTGTTTAAAAATATACCTACACCCCTGAATACTGAACACATTTTTAATCCAACCAAAGGAACTTAAAATGCAAAATCAATTAAATAAATTGATCAAAATCCTTGTTTTGATTCAATTCTTATTAGTAAGTACAATAAAAAATTTGTTCATGCAAATAATTTCCATGGGTCGATTCCTTTAAGAATATTAAAATTACTTCAAACAAAATTACTATGCAAATTCCTAAAAATAATCGACCATTACTTTATACAATTCAAAAAAATAATTGACTACAATTGATTTTGCTACGAATCAGGCTGCTAAAAAGTTTGTCTGCGACCCGGAATTTACTGTAATTCGTCGATTTACAGATGTAACTCGCAATTTGTCACAAACCCGAATTTGTTTAAATGTTTCCCCACGACTTATTCCACCTTTCTCGCTGCATAATATATATTTGCCCGACATTAAATTACTAATTGTACTACTAATCGGATAGATTTCACTCAATAAATGCAAGTTCCCATTTTTGAATTTCGACCGCAAATACACTCACACATACGCGAAATAATGTCTCTTACACAAAATGGTACGCACCTGCTTTTACAACTTCGCTGAGAATTCAACTTCAACGCATTTTTTGCGATGGTTCGCGACAATCACACACAGTGTACGGGAACGTTCACAAATTCGCCTTCGAATTTTTAACGCACTCAAATAATACGTGTCAAAAGTCGAACCCCGTCTGCCGAAACCTTATCTCGCACCGCGCACTTTAATAGAAAACGTCACGTTGTTATCGCCCGACATACTTTCATTCACGTTCGCTATGAAGCGGTACATGTGTAAATTTCCCTATGTTGAACAAAATACTAATTTAAAAAAATACTTTTTTAATTCCAGAACGACCACCCGTTATAACACTAAGACCATTGTCGAAAATACTTCGATTAGTTGGTCACTCCTTTTAAAAATCCTGTAGACTTAATTTCAACAAGATCGAACTACCCCACATTTCTCTGATCTCTGATACCCGAGATTCTCACAACGAAAGGATCGTGTGAGGAATACTAGAAATCCCGCAAGCAGTTTATGGGCAAAGATGTAATATTGTATGAATATCTTAGAAAAAACGTCACTTCCCATTTATTGCCTACGATAAGCTAAAGAAATAAAATACTTGAAGGAGTAGAACATAAACAATAGTTGACGTAACAATCGAGGGTCACAATCAATGATCTGCAGAGACAATATTAATATTCAAACACATGCTGAAAACAACGGAGTTATAATCGTTAAATGAATATCAAGCAAATGTAATAATTATATTTCGATTGTATCGAAAACCAGTACGTTTTATCAAGGAGTCGTAAAAAAATTACCTTTTGAAGTACATCCCGCAACGGTCTTTGTGAGACCAAGAGGGGCGCGTTCTGCGAATGTGTAATGGACAACAACCTAAACAAACAAATAAAAGGGGTTGTGAATCGCGCGGCAAATATTGCGTAAGCAATGCTAACGTTACTGAGGCCAATCTAATACTCAACAAAAATCAATAATTCAACTTACGTTAAGAGATCAACAGCAAACTTTCACTGGATATGAAAATATAAATCCGCAAAACGCTTCAATGGAGCCACAGACTTCAAAGACAAAGAGAGAAACCAGTCCAAAGATATATGGTGACGACCAAAACTAAATGCTAGATACAGGTAAGACACGAAGTCAGTAAAAGTAATGACGTACCAAAGGAAATTTGCATGTAATCAACACGAAGGCAGGAACTTCACTAGGCGAGAAATACAACTCGTGGGTAAGAAAAAATTAAACATCTGCACGACCTCGGTCGGCGAAGCAAAGAACTATTGTAATAAGAAATCTATAACACTTGGAACCAATTTACTACAGAAACAACTTACATCTTAACTATTTGATTACAAAGGTTGGTTACCTAAGAATTTAAATAAGAGCACAAATCAAATACCACACAAGAAATACTAATGACCTCAGAGTGCCACGAGGAAGAACTAATGTCAATCAGTCCAGTCCCTATATTATAGGAGCTAAAATTTTCAATAGCCTGCCATTTACCATTAAAACGACCAACAACTTCCATACGTTCAAACGTAATCTAGTCAGTTTCCTTTTAGACAAGATGTTCTATAACATTGAAGAACTCTTAAATGATCCTGGTGCATCTCGGTACGTAGCAAACCGTTAATTGTATTTATGTGTTTGTTTCATTGTTTTATTGTGTTTGTACTTACTCATGTTTGACTCTGTCCTATACATCTCTATGTCGAAACAGGATAAATAAACATTATTATTATTATTATAGTTACTGAAACAGAATTTCCATCAGGAACATCAATCGGTAAGAAAATAACCCAGGATGGAACAAGTTTTCGAACCTAAGGAAATAAAAGAAAAGACTTGTTGAGAGTAGGAGGTGAAAATTTTAGTAATGATATTCCAGGATATTAGCAGTATGTCAATTTAAAAAAAGGGAATAATACATCAAGAAGTGGCCACTATCGTCTCGAGGAAAATTCGGAGGAACAAAAATAGCATAAGCACAAGATCTCACGTCCTGTACCTTTGTGGTCATTTTAGTATTAAAGAAGTATTTTCTCGAATTTGTATTTTGTTCAGCGACTATGAACGAAAATATGTCTGGCGATCACAAGGAATATCAAGAAACGTATTGCAGAAAGCGAGCGCGGTTGCCACGACCTTTTCGGTTTCGTTAAGTTTTGTGAAAAGTCGGGAACGTGACGGAAATGCAGGCTTGCTACTCGTTTAAAAAGTTTTCCGTATCGATAGTAAGAGCCCGTTAAAAGCAAGTTTTTCAGAGTTGGGTGATTTGGACAGCACTTTGTGCGATAAATAACATGCATTTTCCAAGGAGAGATAAGTGACTGTATTTATTGATAAGAATTAAATCCAAATAAAGAATTTTGGTTATTTTGTTTCATTGGTTAGAGTTTTGCACTTAATTTCAGTGATACCATTCCTTTGGTTGGATTAAAATTTTGTTTAGTATCCAAAGGCGCATGTTATTTCGATTGCATAAATTTAGGCGTCTTACAGAAAAATGTTTGTCATTTAAAAGTAGACATAGAAAATCCCTGTCTACTTCTAAATGAACACTGCAGATTGAAAGCTATTACAGTGAACAGAAAACTTGACACAAGCAAGCAAATAATAAACAATTACCAAGTGCCCCTTTGTGTCCAGTTGTCACTTTAAGTTTTATGTAGTACTGACGCTTATTATAACTAGATGCATTCAATTTGTCCCCCAAAAAGGCAGGATCCGGAAATCAATTAATTAACAAATTAAGGTTTGGAAGGGCCCGAATAAGCTAAACAAACAATCAATACGCAGAATGAAATCTTTCCACTTTTCTCCCTTCTCGCGGTACTTTCCGAGATAAACAAACGCGGAAACGTTATGCAAATTGAGGTTTCCCTTTGGGCAAAAGAAAAAACTTGTAATCTAATTGTGGAAAAATGTCGGGAAATTTTGTCAAATCTCTCCTTGGACAATACAAATTTGTAATCGAATTTGGCTAAAATATGCATATTACGCGTTCGCGAATCTGCGTCTCGGAAAGTTTTTTTTTTTTTGATTTTTGAGCGTCGGGGGATTTTATCTTTTCACGTGACAATGCGAATAAGTATTCTACACATTGTATTCATGCGGCATCTATCAGCAATCATGTACAGTCTCGGGAGGATCGTTCGAATTACGTCAGCGCAACCTCCAGAGGAATCTAGAAAGAACTGACGCGGGGACCAAGTGTGCCATAAGGCAACAAAAGTAGGCTGACTGTGACACGATTTTCCGAGA